TTTTTTTTTTTTTTTTTTTTAAATCAACTGTGCTTGGCTGGACCATAACACGTGTCATGCAGGTTAGTATATATCCAGTCTGGGTGTTACCCTTGTGATTATGTTCAAGCATAAAGAAAGAATTAAACAGTTCGTCATGCACATGGCCTTCACAGCACACGTGGCCATCCTGAACTGTGAAGCTGAGGCTAACATTTCCATCACAAATGCTACTTTTGCCCATACAGCGAGGTGGTGTTCTTAAAGGAGACCAACGCTCAAGCTTGAGACACCTGTAAGAAGACTTCTGAATGCTTGTGTGACATCTGCATTTGTCATTAACTCTGGAAAATTAGCAGAAGTCTACGGGGTGGGAGGGAAATATATCCAAATACAATTCAGGGCACAGCAAGTATACGATGGATTTTGTGGCCAGGTGACATCATCGTGATCATCTAGTCTATCTTCCTGTTTAATACGAGCCACAGAATTTCAACCAGTCTTTTTAGCTCACTGCTAATTAGCTAGCGCCATTCAATTTTAATTCAGAGTCCTTATGATGGAAAATAAACTACAACACTCAGGAACTGGTTGCTATAATTACATGCACTGTTAAAAATTTGCATCTTTTTACAGTTTAGATGAGTCTAGCTCCAACTTTCAGCCATTGGACCATGTCCTGGTTTTGTCTGCCAAATTAAGTCACCTGTTATTAAAAATCTTCAAAAACTGTACAGAACCAGTAAGAATCCTAAACATAGTCCCTCAGAAACATGCAGGAACATGAAATCTCTCAAGCTAAGACATAAAAGCCAGAGAACCACCATTTAAGCTATGTAATATAAAGATAAAACCCTGCAGTGTCAGATGAGTTAGTGCAGTGGTTCTCAACCATTTTTGTACCAGGACCCATTTGTAAACATCAACGGCCAATCCTGACACAGTGCCCCTCACTCCTGACCCACTGCCCCCGGCGCCCCCCCCCCATGTGTGGGGCAGGGGGGGGTGGGAAACGGCCCCGTGCAAGCTGGAACTCTGCCAGTCTGTAAGGGAAGAGTCACAGTTTCCCACATTTTTCTCCTTTAAAAGAGAATCCATCTTTAAAGTTTGTGACCCTTTCATGTATGCTTGTGACCCACTTTTGGGTCGTGAGCCATGGGTTGAGAAACGCTGAACTAGTGTACACGGGAACAAGAGCTGGCCCTTACTGCTATTGGATATAACTCGTATTATATCAACGTGTGGTCAAGTAAACATCCACGGGGAATACTAGCTAATCTCAGGATACCTGGCTCTTTGGATCAAATATAAGACTGCATGCAATGACACTTGAACAACACTGAGTGAATAAAAAGTGTAGCTAATGCTTTGCATTAATAGCTCATTATACACCACTTCACTGCAATCACAATGGTTTAAGGTCTGTACATGGATGTGCACTTGTGTGCAATAAAAATAAAATCAGGCGGTGAAGCAGTAGAAATAAAAGCACGATGGAGAAACAAGCCCAAAAGCAGATTATGTGGGGGGTGTCAATGGCCAAAATGCAATGCCTGCATTTCATGCTATGTGTGAGATGAAGCAATGTCTTGGCTTAAAAGTGATATTAAAAAAAACAAAAACAAACAAAAAACAAAAAACACAACAACAAAAAAAAACCAGAAAGGGAAAAAAACTCCAGCAACCTGCAGAGGTCTCGGGCACAGTTTCATTGTCATTTTCATTTCCTGTATTTTCTGTAGAAAAGCAAGACAAAGAATAGGGACAATGGGGAAGGGACCAAGTCGTTAGGGTCTGGCAAATGATCCTTGTTATGCCACACAAAGATCAACAAAACCACTTTCCTATAAACAGCCCACTCTGTTTCTATTTCACCCAACTTTTCACAATTGTTATAATCCCTCTGAAATGCTAACTGAACGTATTAGCTGGATTTCAGGGAAAGAGCGCTGGTTGCTGTATTCACGACAGAAATCCGTGAACAGCCCTTTGCATAATATGAAGCTAAAATGGCAACATTAATAATGTATAATCAGTTTTAGTTTCAAATACTAAGTCCCCTGTAAATCACTGCTGGTAATGCAGCAAAAGCCTGGCACCTTGCATCTTTTGCACCTTTATCGTTAGATGGCTGAAGGGGAAATTTAAATCTGACCCAGTCTGTATTAACAGATTCCCACCCCCCAAGAAAAAAAAAAAAAGAATTATGGGACAGATCAAAAGGAGCTGTTACTGACATAATTTAGATCAAATCAACAGTATTACGTGTACCAATTGGTCAATTTTTAACATGGCAGCTTTTTAAACAATAAAGAGAAAACACTGAAGAGCATTTAAGCAGCATAAAAATTTTAAGAGAGAACAGTTCAACTCTTGTCTATACTGCAGAGCAGCTTGATTTTAGCTTGATATGGCAAAAATATTGTTTTTCAAGGTTTGAGACTGAGGGCAATGAGGCTTTTTTCTTTGATCCAGTTCTAATCGTTGTAAAATAGTTTTTTTGAATAAAATTGCTAAGATGGATGCTGAAATCACAGAGTTGCAGTGTTTTAACAGTCCAATTACAAGTTTGTTTTTTGGCAACAGACCTACTGGAAATGAGAAATTAAAGGACTGTACAACGGTGCCTGTGCACATATCACTAGGGGAACCATCATGTAGAGATATATGAAGTACAAATATTTGCAGGTAAAAAGATTGTGCTTGGGTTAAGATACAAGTGTATATATGGAAGCCTTGGACGTCTCAAACCTTTGAGCAGAAATATTATTTCCTGTCATACCTAACACATGCAGCTCTCGAGGCAGCTGCTCCCTGCAACTTTGTGGCCAGAAGGGATAACCTCAGAGTCATCCACAGAATGATAAATGAAATACAGTAGAACCCTGCTAATTCATACCAGTGCCTAGAAGACTAGCTGCAAGTCAGTGAATTTTGCAGGTTAGGAGGTACTTGAAAGAAAAAGACTTCCTCACAAGATTTTTTGGCAATTGGACTCTCTCGCTCTCCAAGACCTCAGATCTCAAAAAGAAAAGCCCAATGAGACACAAAACTGTTAGTTTCATGACATCACCCTGAAGTTAGCCATTTGCCTTCCTTCATAAACTACATTTACTCCTTATTGCAGGCTGCATATGGTATATCCGCTCCCAAAACTATAATAAAATACAGATCTAATGTTCTATTTGAAAAGTATTGTTTATAAAGAAGGCCAAAGTATTGTAGCTAAATCAGCCATTTTCCAACTAGCAGGTAATTTGATCTGCAAGCAAAATGTTTCAACACAAAACTGCATAATCAACACAGTGCTACAGTGTAGAGAGCTTTGGTAACACTACCACTGCTCCGTGTTCAGATGAAGCCTGCTCCATTTTCTCAAGCTTTTGATGAGTAAGCTTCATCAGTATTAGAAGTTGTGAATCAGCAGTATGCAGGTTGCAGAGAATCAATTTCAACCTAGTTTGCATATACTAAAACTGCTATTTTTTTTTTTTTTTTT